TCTACTATTCTGACCATGATGCAATTAAAATTAGTATGCAAAAGATATAAGCAGCAAATACCACACATCATATGAAACATTTTACTTATAATAACAACATAAATATCAAGATACTGTCTCTATACTAGGATCAATAACAATTATTCATAATAAACTATACAGAGCAGAACCCATCAATAATTTATTTTTCTTACAAAATTAAAACAGAAATTCTAAACATTTAAACAAAATTTTAAAAAGCATAGCAAAAATTCAAATAGAAAAAGCAAAGGCTGGTATGACAGCCACTGGCAGACAACAGAAGACCTTGATGACAATACCTCATCGAAAAAAAAAATGCCTGCACTGGGAGCGTTTACAATGACATTTATGTCATCAACATAGCTAGATAGATTAGATAGATTTTAGATAGATTTTATTGAAAAAAAATACATAGCAGCCAAGGGCTGAATTGCGTACCGTTGAAATGTAAACAGCAAAATTACTAAATATCTAATAATGCTATATAATAAAGTACTATTAAGTTGTAAAAGCCACCAACAAGATCTAAAATTAATTTATACCGTATTTGTATTAAACCATGACTTAATAATAAAACTATTTCTTACACGTCTCCTGTCTATTTTTGGAATGTCAAAATTGCGTGTTCGTCGAAGCGAATATTTGCAAGCCTGATGTGAAGGCGGCAATAATGCCCGTAACCTATGATCTGAGTCACTTAGGATGTCTTTGAAAAGCGTGGCGCAAGTATCACTGTGATGGACGCTGAGCGGCGCTATCTCCATTTGAGTAAGAGCTTCATCGTAACTGAGGCCAGGGCACATGATTTTTTAAAGCCCTCTTCTGGACTCGCTCTAGCTCATTAATTAAATACTTTGGGAGTGAATAATAATACACAGGGATCGCATAATGTAAGACTGATCTTACACACGTGATGTAAAATAACCCTAAGTCATTTCAGCGGACCTTGGCCCTTTTTAGCTGAACTAAAAAGTATAGCCTTTTGGCTGCCTTTTTGATAACATCACTTACACGGGTGTTCCATGACAGATCACTTGTGATTGTTATTCCTAGTACCTTTGCACTATCAACGAGCTCTAACTCTTTGCCATGTACCCTAATTGGCTCAAATATTGCCCTATTTGTCGAGAAAGAGATTCGAAGCTCTTTTGCATATCTCATTATTGAGCTGGATTCTGTTAGCCGTTGACCACTCGACTACCTTATCAGCAATAATTTGGAAACTACTAACCCAGCCCTTTCTGACAACTTCACATAAAGTAGTGTCGTCTACATATTTCCAGACTTGCGTGCCATTGATTACCAGGTCGTTTATCATAACCACAAACAGGCAAGGCCCTAATTTCGTCCTCTGAGGCACTCCTGATGGAACTGAACCCCACTCAGAGAGGCATCCCTCAGCCAGTTTGATTCTTTGGAACCAGTTACTTAGAAAATCAATAATCCAACTGATTACACTAATAGGAAGATCTAGTTTACTTAATTTATTGATTAGAATGGCATAATCTATCAGATCGAAAGCCTTTCTATAATCAAAAAGGATCGTTCTAACAGTAGATCCGTTGCCATCAGTTCCTGTGATCCCCTCATGAATCATGCTGAGCAAGGCAATAGTGGTGGAGGACTTTGGGACAGCTCCGTACTGGTTAGAATCCAGTACTTTCATGATACCTGGCTTAAGATGATCAGTTACCACAAAATCCTCCGCAACCTTGGACAGACATGGTGTCAGAGAGATGGGTCTCAAATCCTTCTTCAGATTCCGTTCAGGCGTTTTCTTCGGAAGAGGCGTGACATCAGCATATTTCCAGGAACTGGGCAGCCGCTGTTCACTGAAGGAGGCGTTCAGGATGGCTTTTACCGGGAAGGCGACCAAGCTAGCAAACTCTCTCAGTAGCCAGGTTTGGAAGACCATCGGGTCCAGTAGCCTTTGCGGGATTGAGCTTTGACAACAATTTGTTGGTTCTCTCTTCAGTTACCTCCAGGAATTCCGGACACTCCTCCAGCGGCAAAGGGGTCAGCGGACTGGTCGATCGGTATTCTTCTAGCGGCTCAAGGAATGCCTTGTTAATGGTGTCAGCAATTTCCTCAGCAGTTCAATCTTGGATCTCTTTGATATCCGATTTACATAGCGGGTCGCAACTGCGAGACTGCATTCCACTTAATCGCTTAACCTCTTTCCACAAGGCTTTGGGATGTTCACCTTTCATTTGCTGCACTCTAGACTCGTAATTGTTAGCCCTACATACTTTTCTCTCACGGTTGACAGCGTTTCTATAGCACTTAAACTGGATGGAGGTTGCTCCCCTTTTAAAAAAAGCCTCCTGTCTTTTCTGAATCAATGACTTCAGTTTCTGGGTCATCCAGGGGACGTCAGATGGAATTGCGCGGGTCTTTCTCAAAGGCATGAGTAGATCGAGACCAGTACTAATCACTTGTTGAAAGGTGGTCAACAAATCTTCACAACTCTGAAGAGAATTGAATAATAGAGGCCAGTACAGGGCACACAAATATCGTCTTATTGCTGCTTTACGGCGAGCTCTAGAGTCACGCTTTTAAATGACTTTCCTAGTGTTCAAGTTCTCGGTCATTACTTTGGGCGAGGTCATGATTATATTGTGGTCAGACAACCCAAAAGGTGGAGGAATTTCGGGAGAAATATAAAAATCGTTCAAATTAGTCAACACAAAATCGAGAATTACGTCCTTGCGAGTCGGAGATTTGACGATTTGCTTTAGTCGAAAGTGTTTCTTGATTCATGTAACATCTAGACGATTGAAATCGCCAGCAACTATGAAGCCGCAGTTCGAGAACTTGACTCTGCCAGAGCAACTGACTGGAATAGATCATCTCGAATAGAATTATCTTCTCCGCCGGGTGGGTGATAAACGACACCAGAAATTAAGAAGGAAAAACCCCTCGGTAAACGAGTAGGTCTCAGATGGAGCTAGAAAATTTCATGATTTTGGCAACACGTAAGTTCATGGAGGACCTTGCACTTGCTACCAAAATCTTTGATGAAAACGCACACACCCCCATGATTGTTGACAACTATGTCCCTACGTATGATAGTAAATCCAGGGATGTTGATAACGCTTTCTGGAATCGATTTTTAAAGCAAAGTTTCAGTAATGAGGGCCAAACAGATCTTCTTGCGATGAATAAACTCCTGAACTTCATCCATGTCTGGTACTAGAGACATGAAATTTGCAAGCATCAGTTTGGGGACGTACATAGTCCTTTGTCTTGGTATTTCAGAGGTGACAAACTGAATATTTGATAGGTCGGCTTCTTGAGATGAAGGAATATGTAAATCACTATCGTTCCTCTCAAGCTGGGTAGGCTGACAGTGATTCAATTCGACAGAGTTCAGCTCTTCCTCGACCAGCCGAAGAGATGAAGGCAAGTTGCTTTTCTTGCGGCCGGCAATAATACTTTATTCAATCAAATAAATTGCTAAAAAAGGTTGAATGGTTCCTCTTTGCAGTAGCAATCAACAGCATTTTTTCTTTTTTTTTTTCATTCCCCAACTAATGTTTAAAAAGATAAATTAGGAAACACTATCATTTAATAACACATTTAAGCCTATTAACTACACATACCTACCTCTTCAATATCTGTAGGTAAAGTGTCTAAACTTCTCTGCAAGGGGCGTGCAAGAGCTTGACCTAGGCCAGATGAATTTTTTTAAAGAATTTACACTCTAACTAGTGGTCTCTGAAGGCTTCAGGACGCTCAAACCACGCACGGAAGTCGAACCACCACTTCTTAAAATTTCAACTCCGCCTCCTTTATCCAGTTTAGGGTACGCTTACTCCAATTTCTCTTTCACTTTTACAGCGTTATCTTTAGATCCGAACATGATCTTCTTCCAGCCAACTGCAACTCCAACTTTTCACTACGTGACGGAGCAGTTGAAGCTGTACAATCACTCAGAGAGAAGAACTCGTGCGTCCACGTTTCCTTTGGGACGTAAAAGCCACTCTTCTGGCGCTTCGCTGGTGGAGGCCTTGACGATCGTGATTGATTCCGTGATGAAGCCGAATACCCGGCGAAGAGATTTCTACAATTTTGTATGATAAGCCCTTGCCTGTTTCTGTCATTATTCTGTCAAAGAGAGTCACTATTTTGCTGACTAGAGCCACTGTTGCTTACATTTTGTACTCCTTGCCGCATTGAGGATCCTTGATTTGGCTCATTTAAAGTGCCTGTAACCGAAACTTCGTTTGACTGTTCAAGTAAATTTTGCACAACACGAAGCAGGCTGACTGCACTTTCACAAGGCGTGCGAGAGGAACTACTGCCTTCCCCCATCTTGCAGCTTTGCGAGAGAAGCATAAATCTTCTTTTCGCGGGAAGAAAATGCATAATTAATTTATCGCTCGCGCCAGACCACAGCGGTCGAGCTCTCCGAAGACCCGGATTAAAACGAACATAATTCGAAACACGGTTAATAGCATCGAGGTTTCGCATAACAGCATACGGACACGAATAATAGCACCGAGGTTTCGACTGACAGCATACGGACACAAATAATAGCATCGAGGTTTTGGCGTATATCATTGAGAAAACCCAAAACACCAGCGAAAATAATAAAAACCGCATCGGCAAAGAGCATAATAAAATTCCAAACTTAATTTTGGCGGTAATCACCCCTCATACGCTGGCGCTGGCAACTTCGCGAACCAGTGAAAAAATGGAGGCTAATGCGCTGGTAGACCTAAAACCAATTCATCATTCGCCAAGTGAGGCAACATCAATCGAAATTTCAAAAACTACTACTTGGAACACAGCCAGACATCCCTGTGGGTTTAAAGTCGCTTAACGTCAGTTACAATTAGTTGGGTAATTGATTTCCTATATTTGCTAAAATTTGAAACGATCGATTTCGCTTTGATTGCCTGAAAATTTTTGAATTTTGGAAACTTTGATCCGCTACGCCCACTTTATTACTGGTCACAAATCTAAATTTAACTTACCTTTGGTCTCCTGTGTTTTCTCAAGTGATTTAGAGAGTTTTTGGGACGGATTATTCCCTACTCTTCGCCGACGCTCTTCAGTCCAGCGATGAAATTAATGGCTGTATCTGTTATATGCTTGTATTCAGAAGCTTCTTGCCTACACGGTAAGAATCCTCAATTACTTTTCCTTCCTGACCTGGGAACCGAATAGACTTCTATCGATCTCCGAAAACGTGAACTACATCTTGGTTGGCTAAGTGCATGATATTAGCAGGATAGCAGCCACCTCGTAAGCTTAAGTTACTCTAAAGAATTCTATTACAATCCTTAAATAAAATTGAATTTGATATTTTCGTCCACACACTGGATTTCCCCCGCGTAGTGCATACGGATGTCGCTACAGAAGTTGATATTACTCTTTTTATGGGTCAAAATGGCTACCTTATGACGATGCAACAAGAAAATGTTTAGTCTTGGATTTTACCATCGACTAGTTGCTGGCTATTGTTCACAAGGAAAAGCAGTTATGGCCAAATAAATGCAACTCACCTTGAAGATTCTCTGTCCTGATGAAAGGACCAAGCTGCTTACGACGAATTGACCTAACTGAGTCGCGTATAAGTTGCCGTTCTCGAGCCTCCAAAGCACTTAAGATGGCGGAAAAGTGACCTAGTAGCGCGTCTCAGCGAAACTCGATCACCAATTCAATACAAAACGTCATTTGTACTGATCTTGACTCGCGCAGTATAATGATGTCACGTATCCCAAGTTCCTTAAGATTCACCGATTGTGAGTCCTCGTTTTCATCTGGACTGAGCGTTACTCCCTTTTCTTTACTTCTCTATTTATTAAACAAAACTCCTCTACACTCTTGAGCAAGAAACGGTGCGTCGTTTGAAACCTTCGACATTTTCCGTGCCTATTGCGTTACATCAAACTCGTAAAAATTGTGGGCACGCGGAAGACAAAAAGGAAGGAACTCGGGTGTGACTTGTTTTGCTATGACAACGCACTCGATGTTATGCTACAGGCAAGATTACTTACCTTCGTCGTTTGTGATTTTGGTTCTGTATGGCGCTGATCGGCCAAAAGGGTATTGATCTCTAACTGAGCACCATCAGATCAAATCATAGCTGGTTGACCGAAAGTCAAAGCAAAAGGAACATTAAGCAATTCCTTACAGAAGAAAAAGGTTCTTAGAGTATCTTTCATTCTAAAGGAATCCTGTATTGACAAATCAAAAAGGTAAGTGCACTTGTATTTCTCGTAATCCTAATTGTTTGATACCAAAATAATTCTTGTTAGGTTATATCGAATATATGTATCATAAACTGATACTAGAGCAGCGCCGTGGTCGTCGAAATTTTCACCATAGCTTTATTGTTGGTTACACTGTCATAACTGCATGTAAACAATACCAGATTTTGTCTGTGTTTATCCATGTTTTTACCGTATGAGAGAGTCTCCGTAAGGAAACTTCTGGTCGATGTCGCTTGAGACAGAGATTTCGAAATCCTTCGTGTATTGAGAGAAATATTAAAAGAACAATCCACTTGATATTCTCGATTTTTCCAGAGGCCAAAGTTTACACGTGCGAACGCTGTTATGACGCTCTTTCGAGGCTCCAATTTGACAGAATTCAACTTGAAGGACTATTAAGGAAGAGTTGAGAAACTCAGTTCAAAACGAATACCACTGCTGTGTGTTTACCATGTATATCCAATACCCTGAGCCGCCTATTGTACACACCGAGTTTCAAACCAGCTAGTAATAGCCGGGGAAAACTTGAATGAACCCTTGTCGGTTAGCCAGAATCAACACGCAAAACCCAGCCAAATTCGAATTAAATTTTTTTTAAACAGCGAGGCGCTTTCATCTCATCTAGGTCAACGAGGATAGCCTGGAGGTACGTGCTATAAGGAATGTAACAAAGGAAAAAAAAATCGGTTTCGTCTTCTATCAAACGTTGTAACTCTCTGAAGTTGCCTAATTTTCAATAATCTCCAAGGTTTGCCGCTATTTGCATCGAATAAACTTGTTGATATGAAGCGCTTAAGCGACCAATTCTGAGAAGTGGATCCAAAATCTCAATAAAAAATAAATATTAGAAAAAATATATGCTATTGAAGCGTTAACTCGAGTCTCCTTCAGGAATTATCGAGAGATGAAAAGGAGATTGTTCATGCGAGGTCGTAATAGCTAGTCTGCTCAGCTGTCGGTTGTAGTTGGGGAGCACTTGAGCAAAATGCAAAGCCCCAAGGGGAAAGAAAAAGAAATGTAACGCCGTGTATAGTTCAAGCCAACATTTACGATGGCTTCTACAATTATAATGGTAGTGATGATGTAAGCAATATCAAAATTGATTCGTCTATTAGCCGAGCGATTTTTTCACAAAACTTTACCAGAATCTCGAAAATCTCAGCTAAAGAAGGATCCTCGGCTTCTAATTAAGTGTTTTTCCACTTAGATTAGCTCGCTATTTTCAGGCGGTGTTTATTGAAAGTAATTATTTTGGAAGACCTAATAAACTTGAAATTTGAAACTTGAAACAAAATTTTTCGGCCGAAACAACAAAGTCAAAGGAAACATTTACTATAAGCCGAGATACTGCATTTAGTAATAAATAACAAAGCAATTTGAAGTTGGTAATATTTATGCGGTCATATTTAGGCAGTGGCTCTTAAAGAAGCCATTTGTTGTTTTCTGCGCCGCGTAGCAAATACGGCTTACTGTTCGTCCTCAGTGTCGGTGTCGAATTCGTCTTCCATCTCCTCCTCATCTGCTTGTTCTGTTGCTACTTTCGAGTAGATTGCTTTATCTTTGGTGCCGTCTAGAGTGTTAGATTCCGCAGAATTGCCCATTCCCCCTATTGGTAAAGAAACTCGTCACATGATACGGTATTAAAATTTGCGATCACGTAAAAAAGGAAACTTACGTTGGCTTCTCTGCTCTGTAAACCTCATCCAACTGCTGATCGATATATTTCAGAGTGTAACGGCCCATCATTGTGTGTTTCACTGACATCTTGAGCTCTCCATTAAAGAGGTTTTCTTGATCTTTCCTCTGACCATAGACTCACTGATGCCGTACTCTCTGGCCATCTCGGAATTGTTTTCGGTAATCCGTTTGTTGCATGCTAATGAGTTTGTCACTAATTCTTGTGATAAGAACAGTTGTGAACAGTTACTTAACTACACCCGGACCGCTGAATTCTCCCAGTGACAATTCTCAATCAATCAGCATTGCAAAGGGTAATGATTTTCGTCGGGTAGCGGTGACTGCCGAGTTCACAAAAACAGAAAAAAGGCAAGTATATTCAAAAGCTCCACAGATTATATTATATTCTTGGCCAACTTCAGTAATCACTTATTTTGAACTGTCCAATACATTACAACTTGAATCCCTCGAGAATGTTATGAGTCATTGGCATACAAGAAATAAGTTACGCGAAATCACTCTATAGGTGCTTTTCAACTTATCAAATGAGCTTTGTGGTAGAAAGACCGAAACCAAAGCTACGCGAAGACGTAATGCAGACGTTGATTTCATGTTGTCACGTAATTGAACTTCATATATTCATTGTATCTGATTGCATATATATGATAATTTCTTTTGTCGGCATGCGTATAAACAAATAAACGTTCATGATGAGGATAGCCAGTGCACCTGTGAAAACTTTCTAAATTACGATAGCTTAGATTCTTTTTTGGGGGAAAATTCCTTAAAATAAATTTCACTATTCATCAATCTTAACCCTGACGAAGATGGATATCTTTTACGCCCGTGGAGCTTTCATTTGGGATCAGACTTCTTATGCATCGGCTATTCCATGGCATAATGCTGAGAAATTTAAGAATATTTTTTAATGTATGTATACCTGCTTAGAATTGCAAAGACGTTACCGCTGTATTACAAGATTCACGGTCAGGCTCAAGCCCTGCCACAATGCAGCCAATGAATGAGCATCCTGTGGTTGGAGGGTGGTTGAGAGTCCAAAGCTTAGGAAGGTGCAACACCTGCCTGCTAACTTCTCGCTTAAAGGCGGGCATAGCCTGTGA